GGGGTCCCAAGAACCGAGTTCCAGAGGCTTGGGGGTGCCGGGGCGCGGGGGGGGGGGTGTCGGTAGTTTACACGCCAGAAATTGTCGGGTGGGGGGTCCCAATAACCGAATTCCAGAGGCCTGGGGGTGCCGGGGCCCGGTGTGTGGGAGGGGTCGTCGGGTTTCAGGGCAGAAATTGTCGGGTGGGGAGTCGCAAGTACCGAGTTCCAGAGGCCTGGGGGTGCCACGGCGCGGTGGGGGGTGTCGGTCGGTTTGAAGCTCGAAATTATTGTCGGGTGGGGTTTCAAAAACCGAGTTACAGAGGCCTGTCGGTGCCGAGGCGTGGTGGCGGTGTCGGTAGTGTGCAGGCCAGAGATTGTCGGGTGGGGGGGCCCGAGAACCGGGGGGTACCGGGGCGCGGTGGGAGGGGTGTTGGTGGGTTTCAGGTCAGAAATTATTGTCGGGTGGGGGGTCCGCAGAACAATGTTCCAGGGGCCTGCGGGTGCCGGGGCGCGGCGGGGGGCGTCGGTAGGTGTCAGGCCAGAACTTGTCGGGTGCAGTGGGGGGTCCCAAGAACCGAGTTCGAGAGGCCTGGGGGTGCCAGTGCCAGGGCTCGGTGGGGGGTGTCGCTGGGCTTCCAGGCAAAAATTGTCGGGTGGGGGAGTCTAAGAATCGAGTTCCAGAGGCCTTGGGGTGCAGGGGCCCGGGGCGCGGTGGGGGCGTCGGTAGGTTTTCAGGGCAGAAGCTGTCGGTGGGGAGTCCCAAGATACGAGTTCCAGAGGCTTGGGGGTGCCGTGGAAATTGTCTGGTGGGGGGTCCCAACGACCGAGGTCCAGAGGCCTGGTGGTGTGGAGGCGCGGTGGGGGTGTCCGTAGATTTCTGGACAGAAATTGTCGGGTGGGTCCCAAGAGCCGAATTCCACAGGCCTGGGGGTGATGGGGCGCGGTGGGGGGTGTCGGAGGGAGAAATTGTCGGGTGGGGGGTTAGAAGAACAAAGTTCCAGGTGCCTGCGGGTGCCGGGGCGCGGTGTGGGGGGTCGGTAGGTTTGAGGCCAGACATTATCGGATGGGGGTCCCAAGAATCGAACAGATTTCCAGATGCCTGGGGGTGCTGGGGCGCGGTGGGGCGTGTCGGTAGGTTTCAGGCCTGAAATTGTCGGGTGGGGGGTCCCAAGAATCGTCGAGCTCCAGAGGCCTGGGGGTGCCAGGTCCCGGGGCGCGGTGCGGGTTGTCGGTAGTTTACAGGGCAGAAATTGTCGGGTATGGGGGCCCCAAGAATCGAATTCCACAAGCTTGGGGGTGCCGGGGCGCGGTGGGGGGGGTGTCTGTGGGTGTCAGGGCAGAAATTGCCAGGTGGGGGGTCCCAAGAGCCGAGTTCCAGAGGCCTGGGGGTGCCGGGGCGCAGTGGGGGTGTTGGTAGGTTTCAGGCGAGAAGTTGTTGGGTGGGGTCTCAAGAAAAGAGTTCCAGAGGTCTGGGGGTGCCAGGGCTCGGTGGGGGGCGGTCGGTGTGAGGCCAGAAGTTGTCGGGTGGGGGGTCCCAAAAACCGAATTCCAGATGCCTGGGGGTGCCGGGGCGCGGTGGGGGGTGCCGGTCGGAGGTGTCAAGGCAGACGTTGTCGGGTGGGGAGTCCGAAGAACAAAGTTCCAGGAGCTTGGGGGTGCCAGGGCTCGGTGGGGTTTGCGCGTCAGGCCAAAAATTGTCGGGTGGTGGGTCCCAGGAACCGAGTTCCAGAGGCCTGGGGGTGCCGGGGCGCCGTGGGGGGTGTCGGTAGGTTTGAGGCCAGACATTGTCGGTTGGGGGGTCCCAAGAACCGAGCTCCAGAGGCCTGGGGGTGCGGGGGCGCGGCGGGGGGTGTCGGTACTCGGGTGGGGGGTCCCAAGAACCGAGTTCGCCACGGCGCGGTGGGGGGTGTCAGTAGCTTTCAGGTCAGAAAATGTCGGGTGGGGGGTCGGATTTCCAGATGCCTGGGGGTGCCAGGGCGCGGTGGTGGGTGTCGGTAGGAAGCAGGCTAGAAATTGTCGGTTGGGGGGTCCAAAGTTCCAGGGGCCTGGAGGTGCCGGGGCGCGGTGGGGGGCGTCGGTGGGTGTCAGGCCAACAATTGTCGGGTCCGAATATCAGGGTTCCAAAGGCTTGGGGCTGCCAGGGCTCGGTGGCGGGTGTCGGTAGTATGCATGCCAAAAATTGTCGGGTGGGGGGTCTCAAAATCCGAGTTCCAGACGCCTGGGGGTGCTGGGGCGCGGTGGGGGGTGTCCAGAGGCCTGCGGGTGCCGGGGCGCGGTGGGGGTTGTCGGTAGTTTTCAGGCCAAAAATTGTCGGGTGGGTGGTCCCAAGAACCGAGTTCCAGAGGCCTGGGGGTGCCGGGGCGCGGTGGGGGGCGTCGGTGGGTGTCAGGCCAAAAATTGTCGGGTCCGAAAAACAGAGTTCCAAAGGCTTGGGGCTGCCAGGGCTCGGTGGCGGGTGTCCGTAGTATGCGTGCCAAAAATTGTCGGGTGTGGGGTCCCAAAATCCGAGTTCCAGACGCCTGGGGGTGCTGGGGCGCGGTGGGGGTGTCCAGAGGCCTGCGGGTGCCGGGGCGCGGTGGGGGTTGTCGGTAGTTTTCAGGCCAAAAATTGTCGGGTGGGTGGTCCCAAGAACCGAGTTCCAGAGGCCTGGGGGTGCCGGGGCGCGGTGGGGGGTGTCGGCAGGGTTCAGGCCAGAAGTAGTCGGGCGGGGGGTCCCAGGAACCGAGTTCCAGAGGCCTGGTGGGGTGGGGGCGTGGTGGGGGCGCGGAGGGGGGTATCGGTGAGTTTCGGGCCAGAAATTGTCGTGTAGGGTGGTCTCAAGATTTGAGCTCGCGTGGGGTGGGGTGCCGGGTCGTCGTGTGAGGTGTTCCCAAGAACTGAGCTCGCGTGGGGTGGGGTGCCGGGACGTGGTGGGGCGAGGTGGATGCTTTTCCTCACACGCCTCTGGGGTCGGCGGATTTTAATATTTGCTATCCGAGGCGGCGTCGACGCCAAGTCGTAGTTTTCGGCGATCTCTCATATACCGGAAACCCGGCCCCAGGGGGCCTGGGGCCAAAGACCACCAGGGGTATCCTGCCTCCGCCTCTCCTAGAGCCGAGCCTCCCCAGGGCATCCCAGCAAGGTTGAGCAACTTTCCAAGGTTGCCTTTTCATTTTTCCGTTCGGCCCATCCTTGGCCGATTTCGCTGGCCGCGCCCCGCTCGCAATGTGTCGACATGGCCCTCCAAGGCCCTTGCATCCTTGTCGTGCGTCCTTGTTATACGGGCTGACTGTATTGTCGGCCTTGCGAGAGATCGCCTCCATATTCCCGTCTTTAAATTTCGGCAGGAGCTCCCATCGCTTCCGGAGGAAAGGCGCGCTGCTCGTCCGTAATTCGGTGTGCAGGCGACTAGGTGGGCTCTCTCGTTGGGGCGATGTGTGCACCAGCAGTGTGGGGAGGGGCCCAGGACCGACCATCACTCCAGCTGCCCAACTGTTCCCTCATACGAGGCGCCCGCGGTGTTCCTTCCGCTTAGAACTTTCCCGTATCGGTTACCCCTCTCTTTCCATTCCCCACCTGCCACCCCCTTGCTGCAGAAGGGGGGCATGGCGGTGGTGGACATGTACTTGGGCGTGGGGTGTTCTCTCCGAGATGGCAGTTCCCAGCGCCAGGCTCGATGCGGATTCGGCGCGGATTGGGTGTGGATTCGACACGGATTCGACGTGGATTCGACGCGGATGCGACGAGTCCGGCATGGATTCGACACGGATTCGACGCGGATAGGGGCGCGACGGGACAGACAAGGCCCCCCGAAGAGGCAACATACGAAAAGAAGGGGAATTCGAGGATATGTCCCAGGGGGCCTATTCGGACGCTTTCCTCTCGAGGATGGACGACCCCTTCCCCTAAGTATCGTATGTCCTCGAGTGGGGCCCCAGATTTCTCGTCCAGTCGAGAGCCCCACGAGGTCGGGGACTAGGGCTGCTAGAAGGAGCATCCTGGAGGCCTCGTGCGGCGCGCCATGGCTGTATGACCCAGTCCACACGTCCACCCCGCCAGACATGGGACGACGTTCGCGCGGCGATGCTCTGACGCGAGTCCGACGTAACTCTGGTGTGAATCCGTCGTGGATCCGACGAAAGCTGGTCTGCAATGGCCGCGCGAGGCTTCCAGGGCTTTTTCTCGGAAGGGCCGCCGGAGCCCCTTCGCTGATGGCCCCCACGCCGCTCCTCCCGGCCCGAACATAGTCAGCTGAGGTGCTCCCGCTGGCACGCCGATGCCTCGGTCAGACACGACCCTCTACTACTAGGCCCCCTAGATGGGGTCCGAGTAGACGGTGTCGGAGGATCGCACTGCATCGCCGATGTATTGGCGATGCGGTTCGATGTGGAGCGTGATTTTCACCGCGCTGGCGTTGCCGGTGCCCCGCCGATGCATCGGCGATGCGGCGCGATCCTCCGACCCCGTCTACAGTGGAAACCCATGCCAAGGGAGGCCCTGCTTGCCTCCAGGGTGCCCTGGGTTTCTTGGGTTTCGATGGTTTTGCGATGGAAAGCGAGACGTGTCCGCACCCAAATCAATGGACGTCATAGGGTCTCAGGGTTGGGTTTCTTGTTTAAGGTTTCTTGCGGTCGAGCTCCTACTGTATTCGGACCCCCTCTCGGAGAGGCGTCCACAGCCCCCGCTTTGACCGGCCCGCCCGTCCTCCCGCGCCTTCTGCTGGCGGTGGCCGCCCCTCGTCTGGCTCGAGCGAGCGCAGAGGCAGGAGCAGCAGCAGCAGCAGTGGCAGAAGTTTTTTTTGTTGCTACCCCTGGCGATGACGGGCGTGACCGCGGCAGACGGGTGAGGGTAGGAGGGCGCGGGTCCCGTCACGATCTGCGCCTTCGCCGTCCGGGAGCGCTCAGGAATGCTACTCATTCTCAGACAGTGCCAGCGCGAGTCGTGACGTGACCAGGGGGGAGGAGGGGGGGGGGTGTTACCGCGAATGACAAGAAATGGGCCCCGTCCGAAATCCATTGAAGAGCGCGGGTGGCGCGCGCCATGAGGATGAGGAAGAGCAAGCAAAGAGTCGGTGAGCGCGGCGGGCTTAGCTTCGCCCCCCGCCCCCCCGTCGACCCGATAGGACGGAAGGAGGAGGAGTAGGCGGAGGAGGGCGAGGAGGAGGAGGAGGAGGAGGAGGAGGAGAAGGAGGATGAGGAGGGGGAGGGGGAGGAGGATGAGGAAGGGGAGGGGGAGGGAGGGGGAGGAGGGGGAGGAGGAGGAGGGGTGGCGGGGGAGGAAGAGGCGGGTGCGACGGATGCGAGGATGCGGAGGTGGGGGAGGAGGAGAGCAGGCTGTGGCGGAGGCGGAGGAGCAGGGCCTCCGCCACGTCCCTCGTGCTGCTCCGTCTGCCGCGCGTCCAGCATGGGGTTCCTGTTGTCTCGAGCCCCCCCTCGCCCCTCGCGCGCGGGAGCGGGAGCGTAACCCGACGCAACACAGGGCACACCCACACAAGGAGGAGGAGGAGGAGGAGGAGGAGGAGGAGGAGGAGGAGGAGGAGGAGGAGGAGGAGGAGGTGGAGGTGGAGGAGGAGGAGGAGGAGGAGGAGGAGGAGGCGGAGGTGGATGGGAGGAGGAGGAGGAGGAGGAGGAGGAGGAGGAATAGGAGGAGGAGGAGGAGGAGGAGGAGGATGGAGGAGGAGGAGGAGGAGGAGGAGGAGGACGGCGGAGGAGGAGGAGGAGGAGGAGGAGGAGGAGAGAGGAGGAGGGGAGGGGAGGAGGGCGCGGCGGAGGAGGAGGAGGAGGAGGAGGAGGAGGAGAGGAGGAGGAGGAGGAGGAGGAGCGAGGCGGAAGGAGGGTGCAGGAGGAGGTGGAGGTTGGAGGAGGAAGGAGGAGGAGGAGGAGGAGGAGGAGGAGGAGGAGGGGAGGAGGAGGAGGAGGGGAGGAGGAGGAGGGAGGAGGTGGAGGAGGAGAGGAGGAGGAGGAGGAGGAGGAAGGAGGCAGGAGGAGGAGGCGGATGGAGGAGGAGGAGGAGGAGGAGGATGAGGCGGAGGAGGAGGCGGAGGCGGAGGCGGAGGCGGAGGCGGAGGCGGAGGGAGGATGAGGAGGAGGAGGAGGAGGAGGAGGAGGAGGAGGAGGAGGAGGAGGAGGAGGAGGAGGAGGAGGAGGAGGAGGAGGAGGAGGAGGTGGTACCACCGTCACCACTGCTGTCACCCTCACAGCTGTAGCCACCATCACACCTTCATCGCCATCGCGCGTCTTCGTGTACGTTCGGGAGCTGTTGCGCAGGGGGTGGCGCGCCGCCGGTTTCTGGCCCACCACGCTTCTAGGCAAGCGAGCAAGCAGGTCCAGCTGGGCGATTGGAGGGGCCGAACGCCGCACAGATCAGAAAGCACCCCTGCAGACAGATTGCTCGGCGCGCGTGCCCCGCGAATAGTTGATGGCTGCGCTCTCTCTGGGTCGCTCGAGACAGTGGGGAGTAAGTACGCGAGGGGAGGGAAGGGACGGAGGAGGGAGGAAGCGTGACGTCGCATACAGTACTCACGTGATGGACTCGCTCACGACACATACCCATGAAATCAACGTATTCGTCTTCAAAGCGGGCCACCATCAAGTTGGAACCTGCTGAACAGTTTACGCAAGGCTTCGCTGTGCGGTATGCAGCAGAAAACTACTTAGGCTGTCCGTCCACCCGATTTTTGCACGGCCTCGACTCCGATTGACGTTCTCGGGAGTCCATCGTAGAACACGATGCGGCCAGCTATGTGGATCGTTCGCCGTCCTCACTGCCACTCGCCGCGATCCATGCACTCCAGCCGTTCTGGAACAGGAGATATCGGCAAGGTCTGCTGCACCTTCGCTATGCATAGCCTTCTAGCTTCTTCCCAAGACTCAGCTGAGAGCTAGTCAAAGCCGATGATGCTGCGCAGCATCTGTCTCCGTACCTGTGTAATCCTGTCGCGATGATGCTGCGTGACAGCCGCCGTTGTAGACAAGCTGGAGACGGCAGTGGGCGTCACTACTGCGTTGAACGGCTTGAGACGGAGCTTTAAAGAAATCGCCTTGTTCATTGTCACGCCTTTGTTAGCGTGAAACTTGCCCCAAGTACATTCCATCCCGTAGTTCACGTTGTTCGCTGCGCGGTCGCGTTTCTAGGCGTCAATGTTCCGAGCTTTTTCCGGCCTCCCGTCCCGCAGAGTGGAGAGCGACACGTTTTCCGCTTGCACGGCATAGCGTGTCGCTGGGGCCGCCGCCGCGACACGGAAAGCATTCCTGACCGCCCATCATTCTCATCTACCTCCATCTGCCCCTATCTCCATCGCCTCACTCATCCGCGTATTCGTTTCGATCTTCAATCTCACTCTCGTCACTACTCTCATCATCGCTGTTGTCCTCATCACCTTACCCCTACCTTGTTCTGTACAGCTCGTCGCACACTGGGCGAAACACAGAGGCACTGTGATTCCCCGCGGGCTCCCACCGAAGGGTTTTAACTCGAGCGGCTAATCATATACCCTGTGACCCCTCCACTCCCTACCTCCCTCCCCCCTTCCCCCCCCAGGGCTCCAGGGGGCTTCTCACGGTCCCCGGAAGCCCCCCAGAAGCCATAAACCAAAGACCAGGGTGTCCATCACGTAACAGAAACCTAAATCTTCGATCCTGCTTTTTCCTCCCCTCCCCTCCTAGCGCTCTGCAACAGACCCGCGAAACATAGGGCAAAGCTGGAGACTACGGGCATCCCTGGCGCAGGAAAGGGGACACCACTATGCCTCAGGTGGGCAACCAGCACATGGCCCCACAATACGGCGCTGGTACCCATAAGCTAATTTACTTATGACAAGCAAGGGGACATGTCGATTCGATTCATCCGACTTGATACCGATTTCGGCGAGCCCGATCCGGTTCCCGTATTCGGACGATCTGGTACGGCCCGATGTTCGCATAGTCTTGTTGTGCATCCTGGCGCAGCTGGTCTGATTCGGGTTCGATTCCGTGCCGCAGCAGCCCGATCCGACCTCGGTCCGATTTCCCGATTCGATGCTGACTGACCCTGTCCTCGCCCCAAATGCCCTGCGCTCTTCCTTGGCCGTCTCTGGCGCCGAGGCAGCAGGCATGGCGGCCTGGGCTGGCGCCGTGTCCTCCTGGCTTGCCTCTTCGACGTGGCCGTCGACGTGGCCGAGGCGCCTGGGGTCACCACCAGAGCGCGCCCACATGGGGCATTCGTCTAGGACTCCCAGATGGGGTCGGAGTAGATGGGGTCGGAGGATTTGCGCCGCATCGCCGAAGCATCGGCGATGCGGCTCGAAGTGGAGTCCGATTTTCTCCACGCCGATGACGCTGATGCATCGCCAATGCATCGCGGATGCATCGGCGATGCATTGGCGATGCAGCGCGATCCTCCGACCCCATCTACGCGGACCTCATCTAGGAGGCCTCTAATCGCCTCCGAGGGATCGAGAGGTTTGGCATCTTCTCCTCGACGGAATGCTGGCGGAAGCCGGCGGAAGCAACAAATGAGCTGGTACGCCAGCAGGAGCTGTCGGAAGGGAGCATTCGCCTTTAAGAGATGCACACTTTCCTGTGTTTAGGGCTTCAGGATTGAGCCCCATACATCGTGTCGGGGTCGTGTCCCAGGACCTCGGGGTGCGGTGGATCTAGACATCCCCATCCTCAGAGGAGGAGGGAGAGGCTTGGAAGGATCTTCGGCAGCTTCGTGGGAAGGCGTGGAAGCTGCAGAGGGAAATCCCTCGAGGCTTTGGGGGAAGCCGTGCGACCCAGCGGGAAAGCGGTTTGGGTCACCCGCAAGAGGCGTGCAGGTCACCTTGGTCTGGGCCAGAGAGGTCTGAGGTCCATGCGAGGTTCCAGGATCGATCGAAGGTCGAAGATACAGGCGAGAGCGTCCTCCCGTTGGACGGTGCTCTTTAGATCGTAAGCGTGACGAGCTCTGTGGCGCACGAATCATTTTTTAAAGGCTGAGAAAATTCGGATTAGCACTATCAAATGCGGAGATCCCCATGTGTGCATATTTGTTCTAGCGAGTGCCAGTGAAACAAATTGTCTATGAGTGTCCAAAATCAGCGAGTCTGAGTGTGAGGGCGACTGACTGCGGCTGACTGGGTGCAACAGGGCTTGCTTGTAATGAGACTGGGCGTGACTGATTCGTCCTTGGGGGATCGGAGGTGAGGGGGTGAGATCGAAGTGGAACGGAGAGCCCCCCTACCGGGAAATCGATTTCGGTTTCGTGTTCGTGCGTGCCGTGCGTGCGGGCGAGGCGAAGCTGCGTGGGCGGGCGAGAGAAAGTCTCCTGTGGCTGAGGCGCGGCCGGACCAAATGACTCCCTTCCGGGCGGCCCGGGGCCCGCGGTGTCCCGCCGGTGTCCCGCGAAAGTCCCGTGTGGCTGAGGCGCGGCCAGACCAAATGACTCCCTTCCGGGCGGCTGGTGGCCCGCGGTGTCCCGCCGGTGTCCCGCGGTGTCCCGCGGTGTCCCACGGTGCCCCGCGGTGTCCCGCCGGTGTCCCGCGGTGTCCCGCGATGATGATGATGATGATGATGATGATGATGATGATGATGATGATGATGATGATGATGATGATGATGATGATGATGATGACGATGATGATGAGATGATGATGATGATGGTGATGATGATGATGGTGATGCTGATGATGCTGCTGATGATGATGATGATGACGATGATGATGATGATGGTGATGCTGATGATGATGATGATGATGAGGACGATGATATGATGATGATGATGATGATATGATGATGGTGTCCCGATGATGATGATGATGATGATGATGATGATGATGATGATGACGATGATGATGATGACGATGATGATGATGCTGATGGTGTCCCGATGATGAGGATGATGATGATCATGATGATTATGTTGATGATCATGATGATGACGATGATGGTGTCCCGATGATGATGAGTATGATGATGTTGATGTTGATGATGCTGATTATGATTGTGTCCCGATGATGATGATGTTGATGATGATGAGGTTGATGATGATTATGGCGTCCCGATGATGATGAATATTCTGATGGTGATGATGATGATGATGATGATGATGATGATGATGATGTTGATGCTGATGTTGGTAATGATGATAATGGTGCCCCGATGATGACGATGATGTTGCTGATGATGATGTTGATGATACTGATGATGATGATGATGATGATGATGATGATGATGATGATGATGATGTCGATGATGAGGATGAGATGATGATGATGATGATGATGGTGTCCCGATGATGATGGTGATGATGATGCTGATGGTGATGATGATGGTGATGCTGATGCTGATGATGATGATGATAATGATGGTGATAATGATGGTGTCCCGATGATGATGCTGCTGTTGATAATGATGATGACGATGACTGTGTCCCGATGCTGCTGATGATGATGATGTTGATGATGATGATGATTGTGGTGATGGTGATGATGATGGTGATGATAATGATGATGATGATGATGATGATGATGATGATGATGATGATGATGATGATGATGATGATGATGATGGTGGTGTCCCGATGATGTTGATGACCGTGATGATGATGATGTTGGTGTTGATGATGAGGACGGTGTCCCGATTATGATGATGTTGGTGATGATGATGTTGATGTTGATGTTGTTGTTGATGATGATGATGACGTTGATTGTGATAGCGGTTGTGATATCGATAGTGAGATCGATCGTGAGACCGAATGTGATATCGATTGTAAGATCGATTGTGAGATCGATTGTGAGATCGATAGTCAGATCAATTGTGAGATAGATCGAGTGGGATCGATTGTGAGATCGATCGAGGGAGATCGACCGAGCGAGACCGATACTGAGATCGGTAGTGAGATCGATAGTGAGACCGATCGAGTGAGACGTTGGTTCCTTCCCGCCCCCGAACCTCCTTATCACCCGAAGGGTGGTCGTATAGGTACCCCTTGGGATGCCCAGGGGTGCTTCACCTGCTCTCTCACAACGAGAGGCGTCGGGGGAAGCGACATCAGCGTCTCGCTTGCGACAAGCCCACAACGTGGGCTCGGACGGGCAGCAGTACGATCCCCCGGCGACCAGTGAGGTGCCTGCTGCATCGCGTGGCCGCGAGGACGCAGGATCGCCGCACGACTCTCCTGTGAGCTGAGATTCCCTTCAAGGTCCAGGCGTCGTGCAAAAACCGCCGGGCCAGGTTATGTCGAAGCTTTAAGCCTCTGGAGGCCCTGCCCCGGAACCGTGAGAAAACGATTCACGATGAACATCTGGGCCTGGGGGCGTGGTTGAGACCCCCATGGGCCGACGGCACGAACAGAAGCGCCACGGCGCAAGAGAGGATCCCCGGCGGCTCGCCCGCAGCCGTTTGGGCTCCAAAGACCACTTTTGGCACACGAGGGCTTTTCAGGGGACCCCCAGAGCCGACCGCGCCGCGAGCTCGCGACAGAGCTGCGTAGGGGAACGAAGAATGACATAAACGTAAAAACTCGGAGGTCCGCGCGGATTGCTCGGATCCGCGCTGGACCTCCCTCTCTGGCGCGCGGAGGCGCCGCCAGGGGCTGCGCCAGAGGCGCCGCCAAGGGGGCCCCCCAGCGCGGATCCGAGAAGTCCGCGCGGACCTCCGAGTCATTATGTTCGTGTCCTCCTCCATTCCCCTACAGGAGCCGACCGCGCCGCGAGCTCGCGACAGAGCTGCGAGCCTCATTCGGGCCGGGCGAAAGGGGGGGATTGGGAAAGGGGGGGTTACGAAAGTTGCTGCATGCAGCTTGTTTCGGCCTCACCGAGGGGCCCCTTCCTCGATAAATGGGCGCTTCCCGGCGCTGGGAGGCGCCGGGAAAATCAGCTCCGTGAGCTGATTCTCAAACCCCCCCTTTGCCATCCCCCCTTTTCGCCCGACCCGACTCATGGGCCAGGGCCCAGCCGCCTGCGCGGACGGCCGCCGCTCCTGCGGCGCGGGCGGCGGCGGCGGCGCGGCCCCCGCGGCGCCGGGCGCCCGCGCGGCCGCGGCCGCGGCCGCCAAGCTGCGGGCCTCCGCGGCGCCTGGCGAGCCTGCGCCTGCTGCCCCCGGCGTCGGAGCCCAGGCCCCCTCCTCCCCCTCCTCCTCCTCTTCCTCCTCCTCCTCCTCTTCCTCCTCCTCCTCCTCCAGTCGCCTGGTGGCCAGGCACCAAGGGCGGGCCGCGGTCGCGCTCCACCTGCCTGCGGCGGCCGCTTTCCTCGGCCCCCGCGTCCGCTCCTTACGCCCCCTCCATGGAGGCTGCGCGCCAAGTGATGCCATGGCCAATGTCCAGTGGAGTGATGGAACCCATAGTGGTCTCAATTACGAGCAGTGAAGAAGAAGGTTGTGCCACCCCGTGCACCCCGCCTGCGTCCGCAGGTACAGATGATAAATGTGACTCCAGCATGATGGCGGCACTGAGAGAGCTCATTTCCCCATTGTCGCGCAGCGTTGATACCTTGGGGGCGCAGTTGAACCTCGGTATCCATGAGATAAACAGACAGATCTCGGGAATCCAGGGCCAGATGTTGCAGGCTGAGAACAACTTCCATATGCTCCAGTCGGCGCATGCTGACCTGGCTAAGGCCACTCGTGAGAACTTTGGGAGTATCCGTTTGATCCAGGAGCAAGCTTTCCAGCAGGCCATCCAGGACCGTGAGATCGCAGAGGGTAAATCATGGAGGATGTGAAGGGGATGATCCAGGTGATGCAGAATGATATAGCGGAGATAAAAGGGGAGTGCGGCAGGGAGCTCGCTCGGTGGAACCGCCACCCCAGACGGTATATTCACTCGACGTCGTGTCGAAGAGGGTGATATCGGCAACCCCTCTCGGCTCGTCGTGCTCGACTTCAAGCGTGCCCTGATGGAGAACACTCTTCGGCTTGCTGTGGGCCCGATTCTGGACAAGTGCGTTACGCAGGAAGAGCGTTCGGGGATCAAGGTCATGGCGTTCAATTGCAGTAGTAAGGTATTTCTGGACTTCCCGTGCGCTCTCCTGGCGTTGGCCTTCCATGCGAAAGCAGCTGCTCTTGGCCCCTTCAAGTTCCCGAACCCCGAGGGTGGTGATGATTTGGAGCTCAGGATCAGGCGTGACCTCCCCCAGACTTCTCGGAAACTGTTCTACTACCTTGGGAATATGCGTCAGCACGTGGCTAACATCTTCGGGCATGAGCGCACGGGTTCCACGGGGCTTGGGGGCGCCATCTATGTTCTGAAGAACGGATCGATTCCAGTTCAGGTTGTCAAGATCATGATTGCTTGGCGGGCCCAGTCCAGGAAGCGCTACCGTGTCTGTTGATCTCGAAGGCCTGGATGAGATCGGAGGGGCGCAGCACGCGCCATGCCTGCGGACTCGTTTCTCTCAGGTAAGGCCCTTTCGGTGGGTGCGACAGCGGCGTGCAGAGCCAGGGCTACGGGGGGGGTGTAATCCAGACGCTTCAGGCTCTGATTTTACGGTGGGGCCCCTGGCCTCAGACTGCAGCTCTAGTGCTAATTCGCATGACACAGCGTCACATTTTTCTCCGCCGCTTGAAGGGGGCGCGGGTGGAGTATATCGTCATATTCCGTCCTCTTTCTTTCTGTGCTTGAAACACACGTGCCCTCTTTGCTTCTATCTCGTCTGCCTCTCTGAGAGCGTTGGTAAACAAATCAAAAACCAACGCATAATATATATATATATATATATATATATATATATATATATATTATTTTTTTTTTTTTTTTTTTTAAAAAAAAAAAAAAAAACAGAAGTTGCTTGCGCTTGACCAGGTTGCGTGTTTCCAGGGGGGCCATGGGCCAGAGGCTGACCTTGCGATTCCCCGCAATGAGCTTCGCGCAGGTATTGCCACGGTATAGCGATTGGGAGCTTCATTAAAAGAAGTGCTGCTGATGGTGTTGTCACTTATACCTCGTCGGGGATGCGAGAGTGCTTTCAGGAAGTGACGGGGCGCGTTGTGATCGAGGGCAGGGTATTGTTTGTCATGTGCGAGGGTGATGCGGGGGACCTTGATTGTGAGCGTGCGCGTGCCGAACACTTGTGATGACGTTTTTAAATGCAAACGGCACTTGCGTGCAATTGAACGTGTGCTGCCGCCTGCTGCGCATTGTATGTCGATCATCCTGGGGGGCTGGAACTTTGTTCACATGGAAGACGGCGCGTTCCTTGGTGACCCTTCCTTTGGCCCAGGGGGCCGCGCGCAGTGTGATGCTGTCCAGGAAATGTGTGGTCACTGGCGCGAGCTGCGCCAGCCTGGCCCCGCCCGAAGGGGCATCTGGGGAGGGGCCCTCTGCAGTTTCTCGAGGCTTGACCGTGCGTGCACCGCTCTTCCAGCGGGCGTCCTGAATGAGATGACGGTGACGGCGACCGCTGTTGGTGCTCTGACTCATCCTGGGGCTTCCTCGGACCGTATTCCCGTGGGCAGTTTTCAATTCCTGAGTGGCTCAGCGTGCGTGCGGAGCACCGCCGGATGATCAGCGAACAACTACAGACGTTGGTCTTACCGAGTAACTTAGAGGAGAGGGTACTTCGAGTGAAGGCCCTCTTGCCGCGGTAGCTACTGAATTCCGTCAGTCGCTTAAGTCCAGGCAGGCCTCGAACGATGCGGAGCGACTCCACTTTACTTTTCTTGCATATCGGGGATGGAGAGGACAGCAGTGGTGTTTGTGCCTCCGCGCGCTGCGTTGCTATGCTGCTCCCTACCGCTTCTTCGATGTCGACCGTGGAGTTTGCTCTGGTCCTGATGGGCTCCACTCCCCCATTGTTACCCTGAAGCTTCGGTGGTTCGATCGCGAGGAGGAGGGGGTTGAGCATGGCGGTGAGGCTGAGGAGGTTAAGAATCGGCGGAAGAAGAGGCTGGTTGCGCTGAGGAGGGGGTGGGCTTTGATGACGAGGCGCGTGGGGCTCCGCGGTGTTCCGGGCGAAGAGGGCATGCCGTGTCCGCGCCCCGATATCGCTGCCAGCACCTTGGCGGCGCACTAGTCTCGGGTGTTCGCGCGCCAGGAGCACAATGCACAGCGCTGGCCTGCCATTCTCGAGCACGTTCAGCGGTGCGAGGTTTGCCCTGGCCCTCCGCGGCGGCGTCTCGACCATAGCGAGTTCTCCCGAAGAGTGTGGCACAAAAGTCACCCTGCCCCTGGGCCCGGCGGGATCCCGTATGGCTGCTGGGCGGCTCCCGAGGCGGTCGAGGTATTATTCGAGGCATATGGGCGTATTTCTGATTCCGCTGGGGACTGTCTGCCGAGTGAGTGCCGTGCTAGTCGCATGGTCTTCCGGCCCGAGGGTGGCGATCCTGCTGGTCGGGGGGCTTTCGTCTCGCGGGCGCCTGGAGCGACTCGACCCCGATCCCTCGCTAACACGGATGCGAAAATCTGATCCGGCGCTTTCTGCGTGGGCCTGAACGAGGCCCCCCTACGCGCGGTCATGGAACAACAGCGGGGGGAAATCAAAGGGCGGAATATCTAGGTTAACTTTGTCGAGGTCGAGGAATGGGGTCTCCCGCAGCATATGGGGGCCATGGTAAGGCGGGAGTGCTCTTCACTGATTTCCGAGCTGCCTTTCCCTTGATTTTCTCGGTGTGGATCTTGGAGTTTTTCCAGGCCATGGGGGTTCCGAGGGCTGTGATTGGTTTCTATGAGGCCTTGTGTATGGACAATATTGCGGCGGTGAATTTCGCTGGGGTTTCTGAAATCAGGTTCGACATTGGACGGGGGGTCCGCCAAGGGGACCCAGCTTCGATGGCCCGGGTCGCGCTCGCCCTGGACCCCGTCTTACGGTTGATTCGGTGCAGGGGGGCTCTTAGATTAGAGCTGGAACATGCATGCGCAGATGATTGCTGTTTCGGCCTTCAGAACACACTCGCGGATTTGATGCCTATTTTACTCCTTCTTGGTCTGTTGTCCACTGCCATTGGTATATCTCTGAATCTCGGGAAGTGCCATGTACTGATCTGTGGCTCTCTCGCGCGAGCGCCCGTCGGAGCACGTGCGACGGGGCGGTGGCCGTTTCCAGGCGATGCGGCTTGCGATTCATGCGCTGTACTTAGGGTTCTGGGTTTGACCGACGGCGCACGCAGTAGCATGGCAGGAAGTGACGGTTAAGTTCTGGCAGCGAGTCAGTCTTTTTTTTTTTTCTTTTTCTTTTTTTTTCTCTCTCTCTCTCTCTCTCTCTCTCGCTCTCGCTCTCGCTCTCGCTCTCGCTCTCTCTCTCTCTCTCTATATATATATATATCTCTCTCTCTCTCTCTCTCTTGGTTTGCCCGCCACTTTTCGACTCTTCCACTCGAATTGCTGCTCCGTGTTGCTGTATCGAATGCAGCCAGTCAGAGTCGCCCCCGGGATTTTTCGTCAGTGTCGGGGAGCCCTGCAGATCCTGACCGCGGGTCCCAGACATGCACTAAACCACTGTATGCTCGCGCAGATGAGGCATCTTGGGGCATCCTTGGAATTTGTTGACCTTGGGATTATGGACACGCCTGCATCCGCCCCCTTTTGCCTCGTTCCTGAAGTGCTCTCCGCCTGCTCTCTTAGAGAGCTGCTGTGGTTGGCGCGTGCATGCTTCCCTGTCCCTGTGTGCCTGGGTTGTGGGTCTGCACAGGTGAGACGGACCCGCAAGCAGTCCAAGTCTCTGTGGGGCATGGACCCCGCTTGTCGGGCGACTGCAGTCCTCCCCCTGTGCCAAGTGCGCCCACCCCCTTCGGTCGGGACCTCCTGATATTTCCGTTGGGTGGCGGGATGGGTCGCCCTCGCCCGCGCGCGAGGTACCGCGGCGACCTCGGCCTGTGGTTCCAGGGAGAGCTGTGGCCGAAGGGCTTCAGCCAACACCCTTTCCTCCCTCTTTCCCCCCTCGCTGCCCCTCTGCTGCCTCTGCTGCTCCCCCCTCCCGCATGGTCTCACCCTTGGTGGGCCCCGACTTCTATGTCGGGGCTTTGCTGCTCACGGATGATTGATGTGGATATGGGTTAGTGGTGTGCGTCCTGCGGTGGAAAACTCCTCCTCCTCCTCCTCCTCCTCCTCCTCCTCCTCCTTTTCCTCCTCCTCCCCCGCCTCTTCCTCCTCCTCCTCCTCCTCCTCCTCCTCCTCCTGCTCCTCTTCCTGTTCCTCCTGCTCCTCCTCCCCCTCTGGCGCGCCGCCCCGCGAGCTCCCTGGGGGTCGGGGAGCGGGGGCGTGCGCCAGCGGAGGGCGGGCGCAGCACGCTCGGGGCGCAGCAGAGAACGATTCGGCTGCATGTAAAAGTAACCCTTCCCCGGAGTGACCTTTGGTGCGGGCCCGCTGGGGTCCCCCGACCGCCGAGCGCGACGCGGTAGTAACATTCAGCGCGCTCGTGTCTGGTCCGATCCGCGGCCCCAGACATCCGCTCACCAAAGGTCACTGTTGCCCAGGGCCACTCTTGCGTGTGTCCGAACGGCGGCCACAACAGCACTCGAAGGAGAAACAACGGCATTGACGTAAGTTTTTGGCGCTCCGCGCGGACCGCCAACAGTTAGAGTTCATTCCTTCCATACACGTCGGCCGCTGAAAATAGGTATCTGCTGGATCTCCAGGTCCCAATCTACTTCTGGCGCCCGCCTACCTCAAGCGAGTCGAGGGGTTTGCCCTCCTCCCCCCTCGTCAGGGGGCGGGCGGAAGCCCACTCTGCTTGCAACGCGTTCCTGCTTCTTGCTTCTGCCCACTCCTTCGACCGGCGGGGACTCTTCCTGGAGGGCCCTTCGGGGGAGAGCCCGCCGACCTCGACAGGAACACGTTGGTTCTGGTCGTTGCCGATTTGGCCGTCTCGGGGCATCACATCGACCACAGTCCGGACGGAGCTGGCAGGCACAGCCCATCCCCGAAAATGCGTCCTCGATGTGGTCGTGGGCCTTTGCCGTCCTCGACCTGAACCCTTTGGTTCTGGTTGTTGCCGATTTGGCCGCCCTGGGGCATCACGTCGACCACAGCCCGGACTGAGCTGGCAGGCGCAGCGCATTTCCAAAGATGCGTCCTTCGGGGGTGGACAGACCTCCTACCCTGACACGTCGATGAGTGACTTGTCCGTTTTCGCTTCTCGAGGGGGCGCCGCGGCCGTTATTTTCCAGATTTGCGCCCGCCAGGTTTGGGCCTCAGGTCGTTTTCGCTAAACCACGTTTTACTAAAGGGAGGTCTGTCCGTCCCCAGAGATCGCGTCCCCGATGTGGCCGTTGGCGTTTGCCGTCCCCGCAGGCCGGCTCAGGGCCCCAGAAGCCAGGATTCGAGTAGGGGATCGACTACAGAATTGATTTACCCCAAAATTGGCTTTCTCGTCGAGTCTGAGAAAAAATGCAGAAGTCTCAGTAGATTGCTGAACATTCTAGGTCTTCGTCGTAGATTCGATGGAGAAGCAATTTTGGGGTACATCAATTCTGTAGTCGATCTCCTACTCGAAGGATGTTGCAAACCAGAACTGTGCACAGCCATGGGTCGGACGAGTCATGGAGAACGGTCCGACCCATGGCTGCAGTTTTCTCGGGCGGGCGGCAGTCCTGGTTTGACGTCGAGTCCCCGCCTACGGGGGCCCTGGACAGGCGGGGCACGCCAGCTGGGCCGCGGGGTGCGCGGAGTCCGGGAGCGGGGGCACGCCGCAGTCGCACGTGACTCCGAACTCCCTCCTCTCCTCTGCAGTCGGTGCAGACGTCGACGAGGCCCATACGCTGAACTCCAGCGCGTCATTCTCGAGCTTCGTGGACTCATTGAAAGTGCTTATGAAGATGCGCCTGCGGACCGAGTCGGAGGTGCAGCAATTCCTGAAGGTACACGGCTTCTCCGACGTCAATCAGCTGCGGCAGGCCTCTCGCTGGGGCGCACCACCTGCGTGCCGCCCGCTCCACCTGGCCGTCTCGGTGGGCGACGCGGCGATGGTCAAGCGTCTGCTCCTGCACGGCGCCGACCCCACGCTGCCCGACGCAAACGGCCGCCTGCCCTGCCACACGTGCAGGGCGAGGAAGCACGCCCAGAGCGGCCGGAAGGAGTGGGAGGCTGCAAGGCGAGCGGCGGAGGCTGCAGCGGCCCACGTGTTCGAACGCCGCGAGGGATGCCAGCGCCGCGAAGCGGCCGCCCATGGGTGGGGCCGCCTCTTCGACGAGCTGAGGCAGGATCCGCTGCTGGACGCACCACGTCGGAGCCGTCAGGCTGTGGTGCCAGCAGGGCGGCCCATGCCGGCGTGAGAGGGGTCCGCGTCGGCGTCTTCGGAGGCGTCTGCGATCATCTGCACAGGAATGGCGCGGTGCACGACGTTTCGGCCCTCAGAGCCGCAAAAGTAACTATGCACCGTGCCGCGTCGGAGCGGGCCCGAAGGGAGTGCAAGCAAGGTGCGGTGTAAGGTCGCTGTTGTGATCGTTTTCTTATTCATTGTTTCGCCGATCGGCGCGGGCACTCGCCCCCCCCCCCATGGAGTAGATCTTGGTTGTTTTTGGCACCTGTTTCAAGCAGGTGGAGTAATTATGGGGGCTCCGCCTCCCCATAGGAGTCCCCATGGGGGTACTGCTCCAAAAAGTCGCATGAAGCAGAGGTCTGGAGCCAGACCCCCCTTTCGCTCAACGTCGAAACGCCGAATAAGAAAACGGTCACGTTCTTGTACGCAAGGAGGCCCATGCTAGCGTGAGACCGAGAAAAGACGATCGGGGTTCATGAGACGAGGGTCAATGCAAACGGGGGTCAGACAGATCGCTGGATCTTGCAGCATCCTGCAGAGCCAGGGTTGCATTGATCCGGGTCAGGGTGCAGGATCCTGCAGGGATCCTGCAGGATCTTGCAGGGTCCTGCAAAGCTTCACTGACACGGGCTTGCATTGACCCCGGTCAGTAGATCCCCGAGACGAGGCAGACCCCCCCCCTCCCCTCCTTTCGCTTCATGCCGAAACGCCGAATGAGAGAACGTGCACGTCCTCGCACGCAGGGAGGTCTATGCGGGCGTGGGGGAGGGAAGCGATGCTCGGGCGGGTGGTAGTGAAGGGGGGGGGTGGCCCAAATGGGCGGTGAAGAAAAGGGCCAGGAGGAGGAGGAGGAGGAGGAGGAGGAGGAGGAGGAGGAGGAGGAGGAGGAGGAGGAGGAGGGAGGAGGAGGAGGACGAGGAGGAGGAGGAGGAGGAGGAGGAGGGGGGGTGGCCCAAATGGGCGGTGAAGGAAAGGGCCCTAAAGGGGCCCTTGAGGCCCCTGTTGGAGCCAGCAGGCGCCCCACAGGGGCCCTGAAGCTTGGCATCGCTCGGGCGTGTGCACGCTTCCTTCGGCCAGGGCCTTCGAGGAGCCTCCTCGACCATCCGGCCAACAAAAAACACGCGCGAAACCGAAAAAGGCACAGGGAATGGACGTCCGAGCGATGGCCAGAGAGGGGCCCTCCAGGGGCCCGAAAGGGTCCCTTTGGGGCCCCTTTCGTCACCTCCCACTTGGGTCACCCCTCATGAGCGCTCGCCCAAGAGGCGGACTGGCGACCTTTGCCCTGCGGCGTCGGGCGAGGGGGACTCGGTTCCCATGCTGCGCTCCGTGCGCCGGGTCCTGGCGTGCTCTGGGCGCTTTTGTCGAGTGGCCGCTGCCTCTCACAGGATCTTCTCCTGTGCGCGAGCATGGCTCGAGCCAAACGGTGTTTTGTTGGCGATTTCGTTGATTTTGTTTTGCAGCACAGGTGGAACGAAGACAAAACGAGGGAGAACGAAAGTCAAGCGAACACAAAAAACACTGTTTAGCTCCAGCCCCGTGCGCGAGTCCGCGGGTTGCGCGCAAGTCTCCCTTCCGCGGCTACCCTCCTCCCTCCCAATCTCTAGCAGTGGCGAGGCGTCCCGGTTTGCGTACAGGCCTACCCAAACAGATGTTCGAGCAGTCTCTTGTGGTTTGCACGACTTGTTCTCGGAACATTTCTGAATTAGGCCGTCTTGTTTTGATTATTCGGGTTGAAGTTCTAGGAACATTTCTTTGTTCTAGGAGCATGTCGTGGTAGGCCTATAGGAATGCCGGGACGGTCGGTCCCTGCCCAACAATTCCCTCCGTACATTGTCTGTGCAGTTCCACGGGTTTCAAGCACCATTCATCGACCTGGCATTCGATTTCAGTTCGCGCGCGAATTTGGAGCGGTGAATCGGGCCATGTTTTTTGGGCACTCGTGCGCGGGTAAGCCGTCTGCTTTGCTAAGGCCGCCTTGTACAACAATCTTCCAAATATTGAGCTGCAGTGCCAGGGGGCGAAACAAGGGTACTGAAGTAATACTTGAATGGATGGGGGAATTTGCATCAGTGCAATCGCGCAGATCTGCTGCATCGATATGTTGGCCGATGTTACAGCAGTCCGCAAGCAATGTTCCGCAGCCTCTGAGGGCGCCTGGCTGGAGAGCTGCTTCGGACATTCTCAGTCTCTTTTTTTATAGCTACAGTCAAGATGCTGCGACCAGGTTGAAATGTCATTCACCGTATGCCGAAGGCAGCGCGTTCACATGAGAACCGTAGGGTTGGTCTCGCTGCCAGCGGTCGAGCGCCGCACTCGAGTTGTTTTCGAGTAGAGTCTACGAGCGAATGCACACCTTCACTGTGGGTTGCTTGGTGCCAGTGTCAGTCACGGCCAACTCATAAGCAGTTCCACCCAACCGTAAGCGTTAGCGCTTGCTGTACAGACTCCTCCATTCATAATCCATGGTGTCGACATTTGCATGCCGACCGCCAGTCTTTGCGCTCGTCTCGCTTATACAGCGATGTCAGGCCTACACTGTTCAGGCCGAGGCCATGGGACACATATTGTGACAGCATGCCCCATGGTTCTCAGTGGCGCGAGATCCGACGCCTCCTGGATCTTCATCCTCAGGCTCCGAATCCGCCGCTTACTTCTCCTCCTCCCGTCATGGTGCCATCATGTGGCGTTGCATCCGTGTCCTCTCGAAGGGCGGTGGCGATTGCCGTGAAGTTTGCCGGGTTCTTGCCTCTTCTGGTTCTTATCTTGTCTCGAAGTCGCCTTGTCTTATCTTGTCTCGTCTGGTCTCCTTCTTGTCTCCTTCTTGTCTTATTTTGCCTCTGAAGTTTGCTCGAAGTCGCCTTGCCTCATCTTGCCTCCTCTGGTCCTTCGAAACATATGATCGCACAGGCTGCGGTTTCCAGCAGGCTCGACGGGCGGAGGGCAGATGGCGGAGTCCGGCTGGTTTTCAGCCCCGCGCGCCTTCGTCGTAAGCGCGTCCAAGGTTCAGTCGGACGGGTCGGGTGGTTTTCAACATGTGGTTCTCGCTGGAGCGTCGCGCACACCTGGATGAATCGTCTTCCAAAGCACGGATGGGGGGAGGCAGTTCGTTGTCACATTGTGCTTCTCGCAGCAGCGTCGCGAGCAAACGCTTTCTTGTTTCCCGCGCGAATATCGGGCGACGGGTTTTCAAAGCATGGTTATCGTCTCACCATCGCGCCTCAGACTTCCTCATGACTCATGGCCCTAGAATTTGTATGCCAGCATATACACAGATGGAGGGCATAATGTTTTGTTCAAAGCCTGGATATCGCTTGAGGCCTCACTGCACCAGGGCTCAACGCACACGGCCTGTTCCTCCCACATGGTCTCACCTATTGTGTTCCGCGCATCGTACACAGGGCTCCGCTCGCAGATGGTTCCGCACAGGGTTCCGCGTACGGGGATCCGCACAGGGTTCCACACATGCAGGGTTCCGCGCAGAGGCCCTAGGCATTTTGGCTCTCCAGGTGGGCTGTCCACGGGAGCAAGGAACGGTCACCGATGATCCGCGGCAGAGCTCCTCCATACGGTCTTTTCGTGGGCCTGCCTCGGCGCGCCGGGCGCGGCGATGGCGGGCGGTAGGGCGCCAGGTGGCGGGAGGGCGGAAGGGCCGTGCCTGCCCAGCCACCGGAGGAGGCATGACGCGGAGATGCTCGCGCGGGGCGCGCGGCAACCTCGGCGGGCGCGACACTTGCAGGGGCTGCTGCCAGCCAGCGCCCTGGCACCCTCTGTCGCTTCCGAGGTGCCCTCGTGTTGGGGCGGGGAGAACGGCGATGGCGGTGGCCAGGACGGCAAGGACGAATTCATCCTGGTCGTCCAGGCCAAGACCAGGAAGGCAGAACCGGCGCAGGTCCCATGCGGGAGGATGGGCGACGTCTCCCAGGCCGGCCAGCAGTAGCAACAGTCGAGCGGCGAGTCGGCTTTCAGTGGCTCGCGCAGGACGCAGCGAGCGATGGAGGAGGCTGCAAAGTCAGACTGGCGCGGAGCGCCAGGCGCGGGATGCTGCCAAGCCTGCGGCAGGGCAGCTGCGCAGCACCACCCGCAAACACGAATGGCCCGCAATGATTTGGACTGCGTGCATGAGGGGGAGGAGACGCTGCTGCAGCGACGAAAATGATGTCAGCGCTGATGGCCGAGACCGCGGCGCGCGTGGCCACGGTGGCGATCCAGTCCGAGATGTGGGCCGCGGAGGACAAGCGGGTATTACTTGGAGCCGTTCGGCATTGCGCGGGTACGCGGAGTTGGAAAATCTTTTCCAGAAGCAGGTGCCGCCACGGCCGCCCCGCCTGCCCGATGGGGCGCGCTCATGGTTACCTCAAACCCCTACTGCCGGCGAGCCCCCCCCAAACGGTGGGGTTCGCCCGCTGACAACAAGAGCGCGGCAGCTCGCCATGGCGGCCGCTACCCTGCTGGGGATTTCAGCTGGCGGACAAAGAGGAACCGCCCAGGTCTGGACCTTCACGGGCTCGGGCTGGGGCGCGCGCAGGCGGCACTCGCTGGAGGGCGAGACCGCCGCGCAGAGGTGCTGCGCGCTGCAGGATACGAACCTAGGAGTAAAGGGGCTGGTCACGGATCAGAAGTGCAGGGCGCCAACCGCGAAGGCAACGAATCTCGCGACCGTGCATGTTCATTTGGCAAGAGCGGGTCGCGGCTGGACACCGCGGCGGTCGAAACCATGAGGGGCTGCCAGGACCTGAGGTCGGATTTTTGGCGGGCGTGGCGGTGGCGGTGCCAGCGCACGTCGGCGTAGCCAGACCCCGCGGCGCCACGAAGTGGGGCATCTCCCCCCCCCCCCACACGGGCATCTCCCCCCCCCCACACTCTGCACGCAGAAGCTCGATGCGGCGTCGCGGAGCGCTGGGGTCCCTCGGCGAGGCGCTGGCACCCAGCAGCGCCACGAGGATGGGAACTGAAGGCGGCCAGAGGCCAGCCGCTCAGGAAGTGCCGCCCCCGCGGAACCCCACCAGGGCCACCAGAAACCGCGCCGGGCGGCGCCGCGGCAGCAGGCGTGGCCCCGGCGGCGGCGGCGGCGGCAGCTGCGCGGCGGCGGCGTCGGAGGGCGAGCCTCGCCGCGCCGACGAGTGGCGCTGGCCAGCAGGCGCGGCCGGGGCTATCGTGCTCCGCAGGCTCCAACCTTGGGGGCGGCAGCGTCGCCGGTGGGCTTGGCATCGCTCGGACGTGTGCAATTTTTCCTCGGCGAGAACCATCGAGGACCATCCTGGACTATCGAGCAACAAAAAGCACGCACGACATCGAAAAATGCTCGGGAAATGGACGTCCGAGCGACGGCAAGAGTGGTGGGCAGGCAGGAGGCGCAGGAGGCACGGGCTGGGCTGGCGGAGGCGCGCCGGTGGGCGCCGGAGGAACCGGCGCGTGTGCCCGACGCGGCCGCCGCCGCGGCAGCGGCAGCGAGCGAGGCGTGGGCGCGCGCGGCCAAGCGGCTGCGCCGCCAGCGCCGGCGCCGCCAGAGCCACTGGGAGGCGGCGAGGTGAGGCACCACGTCACGCGGAGCAGCCCCTCGGGTGCAGCGGGTGCCCGGTCTGCGACGCCTTCGCCAGCCGCCGCACAGAGGTCCCCCGCAAATGGGCGGGCCTGGGCAGGGCGGTGTACAGCCTGGCAGGGCGGAGGTCCAGCGGCGCCGCCGTGCTGCCCACCTCTGCGGCGGGGTCCACCCCGCGGGCAGGCGGGCGCTGGCCTCGCTGGGCTTCGTGAGCTGGGTCGCCATTTTTTCTGGTGCCGCGGCGCATCCCGTCCCGCGGCCGCGGGCAGACAGGGCGTCGGCTTCTGGGTACGGCCCCTGGGACAGGCTGATTGCACGGGGTGTCGACCTCAGGGCACGGCCCTGTGAGGTCAGCGTCCAGATTCGACGCGCGCCACATGTGCAGGCTAAAATGAGTGAGCCTGGCACGACCTCAATTTGGGCAGCAGTGCGCAGGAAAAGCATGCATAACTTCAAAACAATGCTTGGCATTGCTTGGCGTTGCTGGGCATTGCATTGCGTTGCGTGGCATTTCTTTGCGTTGCTGGGCTTTGTTTGGAATCGTTGCTTGGCGTTTCTCGGCATGGCTTGGCATTGCTTCATATGGTGCTTCAATGCTTTACATTTTTTTGCATCGTTTGGCGGAGCTCGGCATTGCTTGGCATTGCTCGGCATTGCTTCGCATTGCCTGGCACTGCTTGGCATTGCTCAGCATTGTACGGGCAAGCCTCGGGCAAACCTGGGCAACCCCAGGGAATGCTGGCGGGTCATGGCCCCGCACCCGCCGGCTTCTTTCACAAGCCAGTATGAACTCTCAGGCAATGCCTCGTTGTGAAAACGCACATCGGGTTCCACACGTGGGGTTGCACGAATGGGGTTCCACAAACACTTCCTCGCACATCAGTTTTGATAGGGTGCCAAGGATGGGGTTCCGCACATAGGGTTAGGGTTCAGCCGCTGTGAATGGAGAATGTGGCGGTTCGTCCGTGGCGATTTGGGCTCGAAGCGTTTCGGCACGAGGGCCTTTGAGACCCAGGGCAGCCTCTGGCAGACAGTGGAGCTGACAGCGCCGCGAGCGCGGCAGTGTGGTGAGCCTCATGGGGCAAGGCTGCGCCGCTTGCGCGGACGCCAGTTTTGCCTGCAGCGAGGGCGGCGGAGACGCAGCCCCAGCGGCGCAGGGAGCTCGCGCGCCGGCAGCCGCGGCCGATCCGGCGCGAGCCGCGGAGGACACCGGCGAGCCTGCAGCGGGGCGGTGCGCCAGCGCAGGCCAGGCGCAGCAGCCGGGGCACACCAGCTGGGCCGCCGGGAGCGCGGAGTCCGGGGGCTGGGACACGCCGCCGTCGCACATCACTCCGCAATCCCTTCTCTCCTCTGCAGCCGGCCCAGACGTCGACAAGGTCCATACGCTGAGCTCCGGCGCGTCATTCTCGAGCTTCGTGGACTCGCTGAGGAACCTCAGGAAGGTGCGTCTGCGGACCGAGTCGGAGGTGCAGCAATTCCTGAAGGCACACGGCTTCTCCGACGTCAATCAGCTGCGGCAGGCCTCTCGCTGGGGCGCATCACCTGCGTGCCGCCCGCTCCATCTGGCCGTCTCGGTGGGCGACGCGGCGATGGTCAAGCGTCTGCTCCTGCACGGCGCCGACCCCACGCTGCCCGATGCAAACGGCCGCCTGCCCTGCCACACGTGCAGGGCGAGGAAGCACCCCCAGAGCGGCCGGAAGGAGTGGGAGGCTGCAAGGCGAGCGGCGAAGGCTGCAGCGGCCCACGTGTTCGAACGCCGCGAGGGATGCCAGCGCCGAAGGCTGCGCGCAGTGTCAGAAGCGAGGCAGCCACCGACGCGCGGCGCGGCAGAAGCGGCCGCCTCTGGTTGGGACCGCCTCTTCGACGAGCTGAGGCAGGATCCGCTGCTGGACGCGCCACGTCGGAGCCGTCAGGCTGTGGCGTCAGCAGGAAGGCCCATGCCGGCGTGAGAGGGTCCGCGGACGACCTGTGGCGGTTGCCTCGATACGCACGTTTTGAAACGCAACACGTCCCGTGTTCAAGACGTCCGTGTCAATACGTTGCGTGTCGGTTCCACGTATTGGGCCACGTTTTGGCGAATGTATCGCGTCGGACCTAGGTTTTCAGCCTACGTGTTGAGCTCCGTACCAATACGAGACGTGGTGCGTATTGCGTATCGGGGCAGCTGATGACCTGTGTGCACCGCACCGCGTTGGCGTCTCCCGAGGCGCCGTCGACCCTCGACTTGGGAATGGTGCGGTGCATAGGCCCGCGGCCCTTTAGGAGCGGACAGGCGACCCCTGTCCTCAGGTGTACGGTCGATTTGCGTCGTGCCGACCAGCGGCGACCCGGCGGCGTTCACCGCTCTGCCGTTCTCGGGTGAGCGGGCTTCTTGCCCTATGGCCCGCGCGGGGTGGCGTGCACGGGGTGGCGTGCTGCAGGCGCGGTGCGCGAGCCCGCGGGTAGCGCAGGAGCCGCGCTTTCGAGGCGACCTGCGTCCGTTTAAGTTTCTTCAATTACATTGTCTGTGCAGTTCCACGGATTTCAAGCACCATGTCCCATTGTTTCGAGTTTCAATTTCTGTTCGCGCGCGCGCGATTCTGGAGCGCTAGGTCCAGCCGTGCTTTTTGAGCACGTGCGCGCGGGCAAGCCATCTCTGCTCTTCTGAGGACGCCTTGTACAGCACCCCTAAGATGAGAGGGCTGCGGGGCCAAAGAGCCAAACAATGCAGCTGCCTGCGGCAAATCCCGCCACCGTGCCAGCCCAGCAATCTGGGTAGCGACCGTTCGAGAGGGCAGGTGAGACGGGCACGTCTGAGAGTGATGCAGGTAGAGGGGATGCCATTGCTGCTGCTGCTGATGATGATTCTGATGAT